TGAGTCTGGATATGATATTCTCTTTACTCCTAGTTGTAGAATTTCCACTCAGCCAGCCCTCCTGTGGTTCTGGATGTTGTCCGTTCCCTGTTTCAGGCTTAATTTGAATTGGTTGTTCAAGGCAGCAATCTCCGGCGTTAACCTATGCCACCATCTTCGGTTCCCCTCCGAAATGTATTTTTCCTGTTAATGTTCTTATGGAAGTTAAACCATAGTACAGTTACTCTCCGAACTTTATGGCCATTTAAGCCTTTAAAATACATAATTTTTTAAAATATATTTTTATTGATTTCAGAGAGGAAGGGAGAGGGAGAAAGGGATAAAAACATTGATGAGTGAGAATCATTGATTGGCTGCCTCTTGCAAGCCCCACGCTGGGATTCTAGCCCACAACATGGGATGTCCCCTGACCAAGAATCGAACCATGACTGCCTGGTTCATAGGTCGACACTCAACTACTGAACCACAACGGCTGGGCTAAAAATATATATTTTCACTAAGTCCTTCACTAGATTTTAATCCCCCACACCCACATACCATATTTACTAAGAGAATAGTTTATAAGTTAGTATATTTCCCATTCACTTGCCTAAACTTGTTTTCTTAATAAAAGAAAATAACTTTTCTGGCAAGGGGCCTTAGAGATCTGGCTTATAGACAGTAATTTTCCAAATCTGGGTTTCTTGTGAAGTGTAAGCAAAACCAATGACAGCTTTGGCGTTCAAATCTCCTAACAGTAGTATTGTTAATGAATGCTTGGTGTAAGATGAGCAATTGGTTCTAGACATCTACTAGACTCCTTTATACTTGTAAAAATGATTTCTACATTGAGACATAACAAGTATGTCTTATTGAGAGATTTGTCAGGATTATGAAAAATCCTTTTTTTAAAAAATATATTTTTACTGATTTCAGAGAGGAAAGGAGAGGATAAGAGATAGAAACATCAGTGATGAGAATCATTGATTGGCTGCCTCTTTCATGCCCCACACGGAATTGAGGCAACAACCTGGGCATGTGCCCTAACCGGGAATCGAACTGTGACTTCCTGGTTCATAGGTCAACACTCAACTACTGAGCCACACGGGCTGGACGAAAAGTAAATTTTTTTTATTAAATATATTGTTAATGATTTCAGAGAGGAAGAGAGAGACAGAAACAACAATGATGAGAGAGAATCATTGATCTGCTGCCTCCTGCACAGCCCCTACTGGGGAATCAAACCTGGGACCCTTCAGCCCACAGGCGAACACTCTATTCCACTGAGCCAAACTAGCTAAGGTGAAAAGTAAATTCTTAATTGTATATGCCTTATAGCTTGAAAACTGGCTTTCTGTTGTAAAAACAATAGCTACCATTTATTGAACACTTACTGCATTGTTATGAACTTCTTTACATGTATGAGAAATTCGTGCACAGGGGTTGGGGAGGGGTGTCCCTCAGCCCGGCCTGCACCCTCTCCAATCCAGGACCCTTCAGGGGATGTCTAAAGGGATTGGGCCTAAACCGGCAGTTGGACATCCCTCTCGCAAGCCAGGACCACTGGCTCCTAACCGCTCACCTGCCGGCCTGATCACCCTTAACCGCCTCTGCCTCGGCCCCTGCCACCATGACTTTGTCTGGAAGGATGACCGGAAGATGTCCAGTCGACTGGTCTAATTAGCATATTACCCTTTTATAGTATAATCCTCTCAGCAATCCTATGAAGTTAGTATGTAGTTTATTACAGTTAAGAAATTTAACAAAAATGACATATTTATTAAGTGTTAGAGCAATATTCACATGTAGATATGTAGAACCATTTGACTATAAGATACTTTTTTATTTTTTGTTTGTTTTTTAATCCTCACCTTAGGGAGAAAGAGAGAGAGATTGGTTGCCTCCCATACTTGCCCCAACCAGGGATCAGACGCACAGCCTCGCTATTTGGCCGACACCCACAAACTTTTGGTGTATGATCAACACACTAACCAACCGAGCTACCCAGTCAAGGCTAGAAAAGGTCCTTCTTACCCTCTCTGTTAATGCTATGTAATAATGGCCCAAGATACCTGCTTATGTTAATAAATTTCAAAATATAGGAAGGGACTTCCTTTTTTGTAACACATTTCACACTTGTAATCACTTGTTACATGTTTTACCTCCATTAGACTCTTGCTTACACTTTCCGTCTCTCCCCATTCTCTACTGGGTTAGCCCCTCCTCTCTCTCTATACCCTGTGTAACAGAATCTATCACTCTGCTGTTATATTACCTATCACGATCCCTGAGTAGATAGACTGCGCGCGTCGTGGGGGTGGGCGGGATTATGTCATACTGATCTTATCTCCGGTACCTACCTAGCTCAAGTTCTAGTACATAGTAAGTGCTTAATAAGATGAAATTCCTGTAATTCCACTGTTAAGATATATCTGTTATGTATTTTTTTCTTGTATATCTTACTCCTGTAAATTTGGGATCATACTGTACAGACAGTTATGTCTATGATTTTTTTCCTGTGAGGTTTTCCCCAGATTACATATTCTTTCAAAATATAGGTTTTAAAACCTTCATGAAGATGTGTCATAATACCTCCCCTTTAAACAAAAACACAGAGTTCACATGGAAAAATAAGAATAGCAAGAAAATGAGAGTAATGCTGGCAGATTTGTTTTCCTGGATAATAAAATATATTGCACAGTTATATTATGTATATTAGAGGCCCAATGCACAAAATTGGTGCAAGGCCTTGGCCCTCACAGCCCTGGCTTCATCCGGAAGGTCATCTGGAAGGTCGTTCCACTGTTCGGCCATCTTATTAGCATATTACGCTTTTATTATTATAGATGGCACTATCCCAGGAATAAATCACTGGACTAGAATAGAAATTCTAATAACAGACTGAAATGTATATGAAAGAATTTAGT